ATCCCTTTGAAGTTTTGCTATGCAGGTCTAATTAACATGACCCAATCTACAATGCCAGAGGTATGTTTAGCTTTCTTAGGTCAACATTGAGAATATCTTTATTATTTAGATCAAGAACATATAATATATTATATAACCTTGCAATTCCAAATAGAATACCATTCAAACTAAAGGACAACAATCCATTAGAAATCTCAAAATGATATCATATGTTATCCAAAGCGGATACTGAAATAATATTTTTAGAAATCGAAGGCATGAAATAACAATTATGAAGTTCCAATAATAAGCCTGTAGGCAAAGATAAACAATAAGTCCCTACAGCTAATGCAGCCACATGTGCTCCATTTCCAAGTTGTAGGTCCACTTCTCCCTTGGCAAGCAATCTACTTTATCTTAGTCCCTGCACATTAGTACAAATGTGTGTACTACATCTTGTGTCAATGACCCAAGATGTTGAAGGAGAAAAGTTAATCTCCATCATGTACATACCTGAAGTCAAAGCGTTTGACTTCTTCTTGTTTGTGAGGAAAGCCTTGTAGTGTTTCCTCCAGTGGCCAGGCTTGCCACAATAGAAGCAAACTACCTTCCCACCTTTTCCAATGCCACCCTCAGGCTTTAGAGCATCCTGTCCTTAGGCTTGGGTTTGGGATAGGACTTACCCTTTCCCGTGACCTTGCCCTTGCCCTTTCCTTTACTGGCAGCAACCAGTAAAACAGGCTTGGATTTTCATGTCCTACTCAGTAGTCCTAAGCTTGTTCAGAAGCTCTGACAGAGATTTCTGCATCATGTTCATATTGAAATTCATTATGAACGGTGAAAAAGAATCAGGTAGTGACTACAGAATTAAATCCACTTTTAAGTTTGCATCCACACCAAACCCCAAAGTCTCAAGCCTTTCTATGTACCTAATCATCTTGAGTACATAAGGACCGACTTGGGCTCCCTTAGTCATACGACTCCTAAATTGTGTGCTCGACACCTTATACCTCTCATGACTAGCATTTCCTTGGAAAAGCTCCTTGAGGTGCAGAATTATGGCAGCAGTGTCCATATTCTCATGTTGCTTTTGTAGCTCAAGTGTCATTGATGCTAACATAATGCATTAAACATTTTAGCATCATCAATGAACTTTGATAAGTATCCTTTATTTCTTGAGTGGCATCAAGATCAAGATCATTTTCAAGGATATATAATTTCTTTTGGGACTTTAGTACAATCCGAAGATTTCGATACTAGTTCGAGAAATTGGATCCATCCAGCCTATTTTCTTTTTCAATTATCGATCACAAGTTAGTATTGCTCATTTTTGGTGAATCTACAAATGCAGAAAATTAAAAGTTATTATAATGTTTATTATTATTTAATAAGGTCTTTCAATAAAATCGCTCCTACTATTTTTCTCAAGCCAATAGCCCTCACTATTAACTCGAGAAAGCCCGTTGGCTTTCCTAGCAGACTGAGATCCCATCTAGCCTATTTCAAACCTTTGCTTTGGCAAACAAGTAAAAAATGGGTTGATTAGGTAGGCCAACAAACTTAATCCACACTAGTTGATAGCTCCTACTACCAACCTCAAATGCGAAGTAAGCCAAAAACCAATCACACAATACAATGACCAAAGCCATTGTCCTCAAGTGTGATTCTCAATATCAATAGAATGGACACTACATGTTGGCACGTACACACAACAAGTGTACTTCTCTACTATGCCTATGATATGCTTATCAACCTTCGCCTTGGTGAATAAGCAAAATATATCATTTAAGTCGACCACCCATCACGATTAAGGAAAGCTCCAATGACCCTTAACCTCCCACTGGTAGAAGTGTACCCTTCATTTTGGTGAACAGTTCCAACGAACAGTGGTTTGATTAAAGTCATGGTGATGGAACGCATTTTAATTACTGACTTAATATCCTTTATTTGAGGGTTTTTATTTTACGTCTCACCAATTTATTACCTTTTTAGAATGAAATTGATCAGCATGTTATTAAACATTTAACCTTAGCATGCACTCTAAACAAAATATAAACATGCCGAAACATGGCCCGCTAAAACCGATTTCCTTGAACCTAGAGGAATCGGTAGGTCAACCTAGGGTTTAAAAATAAAACTTAGGTCTTCAAGTTTTTCCTCTTCATTTCTCCTCTGTTTCTTCATCACGATTGTTAGAGTCATGAAAGTGACTCTATTTTGATGGTTAAAAGACCCTATGTGTAATTAAATTGAAGTTATATTGAGACAATTGAAGAAATTATGGAATTTTTAATGGAAAATTACATTTTAATTTTTCCTTACAATTTGTGCATGTTTGGAATGATTTTTGAGATGTTGTGAGTCGATATTAGGTTGTGATTTATTGATTAGGTTTGAATTTGCCTCATTTACTTTGTTCAAGGGGTAAATTGTCATATTTTTGGGGGTTGATTTTGTCAGTTTTCATTCATGCAGTGACTGAACTGAATTTTTCAGATTTTGTATAAAAGAAGATGAATAGTTCTAGAACGAACTACTCAGCTCTCCACCCTCATTCCAGCCACTCTCAACCATTTTTCGACGAGTTCCAACAATGATTCACCTCCCAAGAGTGCCGCTTCACCTTCTCTCATCATCTCCTCCACATTTCCACGCTTTCCCGGCGACGCTTCATCTTCCATCATGCAACCCTTCATCTTCCAACCACTTTCCTCCATTTTTTGATGATGATTCATCTACCCAAGAGCTGATCCACCTTCCCCAAGGTCTGATCTATCCTTTCCAAGCTTCGGTTGCAGCCAAACTCGTCAGAATCACATCGTTCCCACCATGCCTCTTCAACTTCCCAGAGTGTTTTCACTCCCTTTATGGAAACGTCTCAACTCCTCAAATACATTTTTGGACTCCGCAGCACCTAATCTATCTTCCCTCATGTTTGCTTGTCATTCTGCCACGGGTCATTGTCTGCACCCCATGAGCGACTGAGCTCCCAATTGCCCATTACAGTCTAGGCGAGACTCGAATCGACACCACAATTCCTCTTCATGATACCTCTCGACTAGTTGGATTGAATCCAGACATTGGACAATTGGTTAATCTTTGTATTCAGTATATTTATTTTCGTTTGTTGATTGTGATACTGTAATGTAATTTGGATACATAACTTGTTTGAATTGATATGTCCATTGGGTTTATATGTCGATATTAAAGTGATTGCATAATGAATGTTGGCTAGAGAATGCTAAATGTTTATTAATGCTTCTAATTGCTCCGTTTCAGATTGCAATCTAGTATATTTTCATTTGGTAGAATGCTTGATTGAAATTCATTTGTTGTGTGATTGGCTGATTGGATTATACATGTTGATGGATTGTGTTCGTTAGCGTTGTACCAACTAGTGGTATTAATTTGTAGAGTTTTGGTTTGCCAATGATAGTCTTTAGCTAATCGATCTTTATTGAGTCATTAGAGAGACATGATAGATTATACTTAGATATAGTCTTTAACCAATCAATCTATGATTAAATTAGTAGAAAGACAAGATAGATTACACCTAAATTGCTAAAAGACCTTTTTATGATTTGACTGGCCTTGTAGGTTAGGTAGTCTAAGAGTTAGAGGAGAGGAATTGTGGGTGTTAGTCTTGGGTCAAACTGAATCCGTAAGGGTAATGCCTTTATTATAGATTTTTAATTAGTCTCTTTAATTACTTGTTATTAATTAGTTTCCTTAGTTGTTTACTAATCAAATTATCAATTTTTCCTTTCATTAACCCAGGTCTACATTAGGTCATTAGTCTTGCTCCTTGTGGATTCAATTCTGCTTACCACTAACTACGGTATTTAAGTTTAATTTTGTGGCCGTGACGACTAGTTTGAAAAAATTTTGGCATTGTTGCCAGGGAGCAACGTGCTTTTGATCTTATGTGTTTTTGAGTTATGAATTGTTCTTTTTACTTTAAGTTTTCTACATTTTTTTTTTCTATTTTTTTTACTTCATTTCATTTTCATATTAGTTTCAATCGAATAGATTTGTTTTTTTTTTTGTTTTTTGTTTTTTGGTTTTTTCTTTTGTTTTTGTAAGAAGTTTGCAATTGGGGAAACGCTGCAGCGAGTCATGTGAAGTGAAGTGTTGGTGTGAACCGATTATGAAATTCTTTCATCTTTTTAGTTTTATGTTCTGTTTTATTTTTGGTTAATCATTTGTGTGATTGATGGCATGTTTATACTATTAGTTGGGTAATTGTTAGTTTTCCTATTGTCTTGGCATATTTGTTTTATTCCTAGGATTTAATTTTTGTTCTTAGTATTAATTTCTTTTAGGTTGCATTGATAGCTTTAGTTTTGATTAAGCATATTTGTTTGTGTGAATTTTTGTTGGGTAAAGTTTTATTAAATTTTAGATTTGTTTTAGTTTCGTTTTGTGTGCTTATTGAATTTGCTTCTTAGGATTTGCATTTAGTTATTTTTTTATTTACTTCTTTTTTTTTTTTTTTTTTTTTTGAAATTGTTGTTGCGGTTGTTTGTTGAGCTTCTTGTGTGTTTAACTAATGAATGCAAACTAAAAGGTCTTGTAATGAAGAGTTATTGCCTTTGAATCTTGAAATTGTAAGAGGAATCGAAAACAAGTACGTAGGACGGCTGAACAGGATGCACCAACACATGTGCCCCTTAGCCAACATTTTGCACCCACCACCTACACTTTAGCCTCATGTATCTGTATTCCCAACGTCCAGACACAACACTATGAGATCAAAACTAGTGTCATCCAATTGCTGTCAAGTTATTATAGGAATTTAAATGAGGAGCCATACAAACACTTAAATGAATTTTTAGAGGTTTGCTCCATAGTTAGACTTCAAAAATGTGAATGAGGATGTTGTGTGCTTAATTTTATTCCCATTCTCACTTAAAGATCGAGCCAAACAATTGCTCAATTCTTTGGCAGCAAGGTCCATTACCTTTTGGGCCTAAATGCAGTAAGGATTCCTTAAAAAGTATTATCCAATTGGTAAAACCAACAGCATAAGATGAGTCATCACTAGTTTCTCTCAACTAGATGGTGAGGAATTTTATGAGAATTGGGAACATTTGAAGAAAATGCTTAGAAAGTGTCCCCATCATACAATCCCTAGGTGGCAATTACTTTGTAGTTTTTATGATGGACTGACAGAGAGGCATAGGAATATGGTAGATGCCTCTTGTGGGGGAACATTTATGCACAAGGACGAGAATGAGTTATGGCAACTCTTCAAGATCTTAAGTGAAAATTCAATGCACCACATTTCTGCATCTAAAATACCTATCTCAGGGCAACCATCCAAGAAGGGTGGCATGTATTAGGTGTCACGGTTAGATGACATTAGTTCCAAGCTAGAGGTGTTGGCCCACTAGTTTGACAAGTTTGTATCTATGCAAGGGCAGCCCTCTACACAATCATCTTAGAATAGGGCAAACCAGGATGTTTTCATCATGCATTCCAATCTTGACCATCCAATTGAGGAACCTGCCCCGACTCTTTTGAGGAGCAAGTGCAAGTTGCACAAGGATTCCAGAGAAGAAACAATCCGTACTTGAACACATACAATCCTGAGTGGCATAACCACCTAATTTTTCATGGAAGCTGATGCGTGTTTCCTACAACTTGCAATATGTAGCAAGTATACTAATTGCACAAGTAATATAATGATGAGTAGAGATCGTTCCCACGAGGATTGTTAGCTAACCACAAAGTATTCTACTGTTCTCTAGTTGGAGCAATCAAAATCTTTGGATTGATGGGAGCTAATTATAACTAATCTGAACAATAACTATTAAACTAAAATTTAACTAAAGATTGCAAGATAAAATTTCAGAAAAATCAATTCAAGTAAAACGGGTAGGGTTTTGACTTCGTTCGGATTTTATGGGTTAAACCTAAAAATTACACTACATTCACACTCATATGCATTGATTGTAAACCGAACTCACTAAGGTGTTAAACATACCTTCTCAGGATATGTTTTCCTATTCTTCCTTTTTAACCTTCCGCACCCAACAATTTGAAGGTTAACAATTCCAAACTTGTTAAGCATAAGAATCCTATAATGATTTCATTAATTCTTGAATCTTCTCTAGCATCCAATACTATAATGGTGATTACCCGAGAAGCCTAACATGATTCATTTCTCAATCTCATCATGTTCATCACATAAAGCATTAAAAATCAGAGTAAACACACAATCAAAACATAGTCATATGAATATAACGTGATCAATATTTAACCCATTAGAAATCCGAATTACAATCAAAACCCTAACCCAAAATGAGTTAGTTCATAGCTAAATTAACACTACACTTAAGAAAAACGAAAATAATCAAGTTCAACATAATGAAAAGTAAGAGAGAAAATAAGAAATCCCCCCAATTGATGAATCCTTCGGTTCCAAATCAGTTATTCACCCTCTCAAATCCTAAAAATCTCCAAGCTTAATCCAAAAAAAATGAAAAAGTTGCTAACCCTACTTCCTGCACGACCCTGGGCAAAAAGGTTAAGTTTTTCTTTTGTACCTCACCCTAATTTTCCAAGAAAAATACGCACAACGTAAAACTGTGCGTTTTACAAAACTGAAAATTACGACTGTCGCCGCGGCGAAGAAAGCCTTAGACTTGTTCGTGTCTGCCGTACTTCGCCGCGGCGAAGGACAATTCTTCGCCGGGGCGAAGCTACTTGAAAGGTTCTGAATTTACAGAACTGCCACTCTGCTTGCTTCTTTTGCGTTCTTCTTCGATTCTCGGTGCTCTTCCTTTGGAACAAGCCTCATCGTGCTTTGTCCTGCTTCAGAACTCTTCTAACTTCTGAGATCCACTAACTTCTTAGTCAAAACTTCCAATTTTGTCCTTATTTGCTCAAAATGTCCATTTTAACCTGAAACACAGAATGTAAAGAATTAAACAACAATTCAGGTCAAAATGCAACAAAAAGTACTTGAAATCCGACTAAAAAGACTAATGAAAACTGTATAATCCACGGATTATCAAATACCCCCAAACTAAAGATATGCTCGTCCCCGAGCATACGGTACAAAATCAACGAAAACAAAAACATTGAAAAATTATTATAAGGAAATGTTCAACACTCCAAGAAGTTATAAGCATTATCGACTGTCTTCCTCAATCGGTCCATCCAGTAGGTGATCCCCACTTCAATCCACATCCCAACTTCCCGGATTATTTTATGCAAAAATGTAAAGTACATCAAATAGTGGTAGACTCCATAAGCCTAAATATCGAACTACTCTCCACTAATGAGGACTAAACACAGATGAGAATCAAAAGGTCTTTAAAAGCTTGTAACGTTAGGCTTGGGTAGTAGGTTCCAAGAAAAGGATAGGAAAAACAAAGTAGGAGAACTCAATTTTTCTCATGCAAACACTCAAGTCAAATCGGACTCTACTTCTTTTCAACCAACAATCAATGTGTCCACTTATTAACCATCCTCAAACTCGTATCCTTCTTATTTTTGATACCACAAATGCACGAGTTTAAGGTGTAAGTGGCGTTGTTAAACCTGATGTCGCCAAGTACTGCTATGCAGTTTTTAAGGTGGTTACTAGTTTCCAGCCGATATACCCTTAAACCCGGCAAATTTTTTTTTTTTTTTTTTTTTAATGAAAATAACATGAATTGAGGTGAACTACCTCTTTTTATTTTTATTTCCCTTCTCACAACCCCTAAACTATTCGTTTGGCTTATTCGTACAACTCTTATTCCATTCTTTGTGTTTGCACTACGGTCGAATTCTCCTAAGGGTACGATAAAGTGTTTAGGGTAACAGGGTTGGATAATTTTCGGTTTGCAAAAAGAAATAAAGAAATACTGATTCATACGGCTCAAACGGGTGACTAGGGACAATTTCATTCTGGGTCAGCTAGAAAGGCTCAAATGTTCCAAAAAGAATGCCTAAATCATCTCCTCAACCATGTCTAACCCTAGAATTTGCCTCAAGCACTTCTCTACTAGGTTCTAGAGTCCACCAACATTATCAAACTTCGCCTAATCACATAAAATGAATCTAAGCATGCCGAAATAAATGAAAATTGTGGTTGAACCACTCAACAAACCTCAATCAAAATTTAGTCAATAAGAAAAACTTGAAGAAATGCTTAACATTTCTCAACAATAAAATTGCAACAACCCTATTCTTATCATTGAATTATACACTTCATCATTGGCAAAAACAAACAAACTAAAGAAAAATAACTAAAAAAAAAAAAAAAATTTTTTTTTTTTGTTTTTTTTTTCAGTTTAAGGTGTACGCGGCGTTGTTATACCAGAAGTCGCCAACTCCTGCTAGGAAGTTTTTAACGCAGTTACAGGTTTCCAGCCAATATACCCCTTAAACTAGGTTTTTTTCTATTTCCCTACCCCCAAACTAAACCGGACATTGTCCCCAATGTTCCATAATGCATGGATCAGGAATAGAGAATAATAAAAACAACAAAGGTACGAGAGTGCTCCCTGGTTAATCCGTGAGATGTCGCTCCACAATGAACACCCAATCTCGGACTTTTCATCACCCAAACTCTGTCAAAATAATTGAAATTGTGTGTCCCTTATGTTAGCACAAATTCACAATTAACTTGAAAATATTACAACCTATTCTCGTCCTTTCAACAACTACAAATTAAAAGCAACAACTAAACAACTAAAGAAAATCCAAAACCAAAATAAAAATGAGTTTAATGTTAAGAATGAACAACCAAACCAAATGAAAACAATTAAACAAAACAAAACAAATAAAAACAGGTGCTCCAGCTCAGTCTTCTTCTTCCTCTGTTTCCTCATCTTCCTCTTCTTCCTCGGAGTCCATGTACTCATCTGAGTTCTAATCAGCCCATTGGTATGCTGAAGTGTCCACGTTGAGCTCCGTAAAGCTATTCTACAACAGTTGATGCATCATCTGAGTCTGCTCTACCACCCAATCCTGACGTCTTTTCATATATTTCATTAAACCCATCATCTGCTGCATCATTTCTCTCTGTGTAGCTGTGGAGCTGACTGATGTGGTAGGGCCTGTTCGCTGCCTTTTTGCCCCTGCTCTTGGTTGTGCAGCTTCCTGACGGTTAAAGTGCTTCCTGTAATACTCTGAATCTAGAATTGGGGTAGCATGGATTCGGCGCTCGTCATCCTGAACTTGGATTCTGGCATTGAGGTACAAGGCTGTGATGAGATGTGGGAAACAGTAACTAGTTTGCCCCGTTTTGGATGCTAGTTTGATGCTGTTGAAAATTATGTCTCCCACATCCATACTCTTCCCTGTGGCAATAGAGTAGAGCAAAACTGCCTTCTCGTGAGTTACGGTGCTATAATACGATTCCGGCATTAGTTTCGCACAGACAAAGTATTGCCACAGCCGAGCCATCGGTGTCAACTGTGTTCCCTTGAGTGTCTTTTTCTGTTTCTTTGACACTTCCCACTTGGCCCCTGGTTTTGCAATGACCGGAAGGATTAAATTGTCATCAATGTGTGATCTCTTGAACCTTATGTATTCATCCTGATCAAGGTTAGATAGGTTGTAAAACTGATTGATCACCCTGTCCGTAAATGGCACATCAACCCCTCTCACATAAACTGTACCTTCCTGACACTCCGGGAGATTGGCATAAAACTCCCTTACTAGCGGCTCAACAACCGCTAGCTCAGGAGCTCTCATAAACATGTCCCAACGTCTCCCTCTACTTCAGTCAACGGCCTGAGTAGCGGTTAAACCACGCTCTGGGATGATACCCTTATCCTTCCTTTGGATTACCGCCTCATACCTTTTGTGGACTTCATCATTAACAAAGCGGTTATCCACTTGCTTTCCTTTGCCCTTACCCTTGTATGGCTGCTTAACTTTCGGAGCCATCGTTCACACTACAATTCCACTCCAAAATTATAACCCAAAAAATTCAGACCTACTTGTTCTACGCAGCCACTTCAAACCTGCAAAAACAACCCACACTTCCAAAAATTCGCAATTCAACCCCCAAACTTCGAATTTTCAATTCAGCACAAACACTCCACAAATTCAATACCCACACTCCTAACAATCACTTAAAGCCCAAACAACTCTTCCTTAAGCAATATCAATACTCAAAAGCACCCA